GATGACGGAGGCAGTATGACCTCTGAAACGTTGGTTAACATCGACCAGACTACACAGCGCAACAACCCAGAAGACAGAAATCTTCATACTCACCGCTGTGGAAAACCTCAAATCTTAAATTGTAATACAATTCTGATGTTATCTTTGGCGATAACGTACCTGCGCGTCATTGACGTCGATAATGTGTGGACCATAATATGATATTGTTTTACAAGAATCCTTTTTGCGGACAAAATACCGATAAAAAGTGTATGAAAAGGCTTATCTTTAAAAGTAGAGTGAATATTGATTTCTTGTTATGCTACCAGTTATCTATCCTTACGAAGTATTTTGCATTGACTGGGGGGGGGGGATATGAATTTATATTACGCTGTTAAAGCTATAACTGACAAACTTGCGTGCAGTTCCCATTTCTGAGTTTGCCCATTTGTGTTGCTATTTTCTTTAGCAGCTGACCAGACTTCAGACCAGTGTTTGTAGGGTATAGGATTTACGACAACTGAGGGCGCATGTTTTCTTGGGATGTTCACGTTTCGCATACAATTCCATTACAACCTCAGCAGCATTTACATCTTAATTCTGACAACTGTGGAATAAGATTCTAATGCCGTGCTTGTTATGTTCTGTACAACACTGCACATGCGCAATACTTTTCGACGTAAAAAATGTTGTTTACACTTGAACATTTTATTTGTGTTTAGGGGCCTCTTTGACGTCCTCTGAATGGTCTCCCTCTTACCCTGACTTTGCTTGTTAATTCTAGAGACTGCGCGGATTACGGCAACTACAATTCTCAGTACGAAATGCTTAGATGTATGAAGTAATCCTTTGATTCTATGTAAATGTATAGCCGGGTTTGAGGTGCTGATGTAGTGAGGCGGTTTTGCAGAAGAAGGATGGTAGTCAACTGCGCAGGGAAACATGGCCTAGTGCTCCCTGCTACATTCACCAATGAGCCGGGAAGCTTTCAGTGGTTTAAGCTGCTTGAAGGAGGCGGTTAGGGAGGCAGCAACTACCGGAACCCGGAAATGTGGGCCGGAATCCCTCAACAATCCCAGCGGAATGGTTGTTGTTGGTCATCCGGCTTTTCAGTCTCTTCACCACCGCCACCCCTCGCCCCCGGGCCGACCCACTCTTCCCCAACCTCCCTGTCATTCCTTACTCTGTTGCTCTTACTGTAGGTTGTTCATAATGCCCTGTCCCCGATTTTCGATGTATCAGTTGTTAACCTGTGCACTAAATACGGACAGGCAATGCCTAATTTGTGTTGCCTGTGAGTAAATAAGCTACAGCTTAAAACCTCACATTAAAACTGTCCAGAAACAAAATCTGCAATAGTTTTTGTTTTAACTGTTTAATTTTAAAGGCTTAAGAATTATGCGTATTTTATAGCATTATTCCTGTGACACATAATGTATTCACTGACATTTTCCTGTGTTAAAATTTGGCCTTGTGTTTCTGCTATTTTCTAAATCCGCATTACTGAATGTAGGTAAACAAGTGAGTCAGACATTGTGATCGAACTTTCTCATATATGTCATTGTGATTAAACACATACATCTAATCTTTATCGTCATCAACTACAAGACGAAGGCCTTATGACCTTTTCCGCTATCCCAACTGATCCATCCATTTCTTCAGTGGTTGAATTTTGATTTCTAATTAAAATGTGTAGCACGCTGTGGCCTTTGTCCTTTCGTCTTTTTCTGTGTTTGTTTTTTCTAGTTTAAGCCTTAACGTTTATTTACATTGTCCTTCCTAATAAAATTATTTTGAAGATGACTGTCCTGTGGGACGTTGTACCATGTAATCTCGTAGAAATTGGCGTTTCAGAGGTGCTTACTGTCTTCATCGTCATAAATAAGTTCTATCTACATGTTTAAAATCAATGTCGACATTTAATCGTCATATCATTGTGGCGTAAACACGCATCCTTACGTACAGACAGCTTTACATGCAAGTGGGCATCATATTTTGATGAAAGTGATGGAAAATAAAGAAAATGTCCAAATGGCCCATTGTCTATAGCTAAGTCCATGGTTAAGATATTCTTCGCCATTTATAGAGCTCGAAGGATCATTCTCGTGTTTACAAAATTCCACCACTGGTACCTGTCTCACTCCTGGTGAATCCAGCATTTAGTCTCACGCTCTTAAGAACAATTTTGATATTATTATCCGCTCTATGCGTAGGTCACTCAAGCAGTCTCTTTCATTCTTCTTCTTCCTCGTGTTTTCTTTATGCCCCGTCCGCCCTATTCGCCTTCATTTTACCACCCTAATAGGCTCAGTATTTGATAAAGAGTAGGCATTATGAATCCACTCAGTGTGAAGTTTTTCTTCGTCTTACTATTGGACCCAAATATTCTACTCAGCGTCCTGTTCTCAAATAACCGCAATCTTTTTGCATCATTTAAAGTAAACATACGAAGTTTCACACCCATTAAAATGACAGCTACGGTTATTCATAGTTTTGTATAGTCTAAGATCCTTTAGCTCTGTTGGAAGTTGACATTTCATTGTTGTGCTGTTTGACGTATTCACACGTTATAGAACCGAGTAACGACAGCCCGTTTGCCGATCTTTCATGTAGTGGACATCAGA